CAGCAGTGAGTTCTTCATGGAGTTGCATCTACACAGAAGCCACAGGTTGTGCAGAATTTGTTGGCTGGCTAATTAACAAACAAGTTTTCTGAACATCATAAAGTTGTGCTGTACAAAAGGTCTGGGTCCTCCCCTCTTCAGAGTGAGTGTTCTTCCAGTCGTGTTTGGCAGTGCTTGCCACCTGTGTGTGCACCTGCCTTTATGAGGCCAAGGAAAACAGAGTATGAGTGTTCACTTAGCCCAGGAGAGGGCTCCCACCAGTTCTTTCCATCTTTATTTTTGGATCTACAAATAGATGAAGAAACAGCTCAGGAGTGCTTCAAATGTTCTCTGACGAAGCAGAGGATAGACCAGAAATAAACAGAAAGAAGAGTGCCTTCTCCTCCTGAAGACTTTTTTTCTCCTTCTAACCGTCTTTCTTTTACTTCCATAATCTATGCCATATTTCAATTATCTTCCCCAGTATTTAATTTTATGAACTGAAAAATGTGTTTTATTCAGTCAGTATTTATTTTCAGAATGATCCATGCTGCTATTGAAGTCAAGTTGGAGCACTGAAAATAAATTGGACTAAATCAGCTAGATTTCAGAATTTCCTGACCCATGAAGTACTTTTGCTTACTTGAGATTAAACCACTCACTCTCTTGTCAACTGGTTGGCTTGAGCTGATCTGCAGGTGCACAAAATATACTTCTAATGTTTAAGAGATGCAAAAACTTCTATCCTGATGTCTTACTGTACACATGGACAAATCAGTGGCTCTTGCCTTTACAATGTATGGTGCATCCTAGTAAGCTGCATCTCTAATCTTATTGCACATGTACAATTCTCTTTAGCATTTTGGTACCGAAGCAATAGAATAAATTTTATTTTTCAGTATAAGTGTCAATCATTCCTTTAACCAAAAAAAGAGGATGACAAGTAAAATGATGAAAGCATAGCATGGCTGAGATATTTTATAAGCCTTCACAGATTAAATAACATGAAGACCGAAGGGTTGGTATCATCATGAATAGCATAAGATGCTTAATTGATATTTTGTTTCTGGTTATAAATGCTGCTAAAGAAACCTATGTTTGGTTATGAAATAAAGTTGGTCTGAATCACAAGACATACGTTAGAAGAGACAGAAATTCTGTGTAATGACACCATTTGGAGGAAGTGCTATTAGCTAGGTATGGGATCTTTAAGGCCAATTTTCAAGAAGAGGTGGAAAGTGTGTTTTGGCATAGCTGAAGCTATTGTGGAACTACTGAAGTAGAATTAGTACAGAACACATTACTCATACTTTAAAAGGAAATTTTTCTTTTACCCTGTGATTCACAGTCTTTTTAGAATCATGGATCTGGAATCTAGAATCATATTGGAACTAGAAAAGACCTGCAAGAACTGCTAGTTTAGCTCTGGTTCAGATTTTATTTTTTAATATGATTGAGCAAGAGAACTTCCCAAAAAGGAGGTCCTGTTAATCCTGCAACGCCTCCCTTAAAATAAATGCATGAAAAGAAAAGGAAAGGAAAGGGAAGGGAAGGGAAGGGAAGGGAAGGGAAGGGAAG